TTTTTTTTTTTTTCCTGAGACAGGGTTTCTCAGTAGCTATGAAGCCTGTCCTGGAACTCGCTCTAGCCCAGGCTGGCCTGGGGCTCACAGAGATCCGCCTGCCTCTGCCTCCCGAGTGCTGGGATTAAAAGCATCACCACACATTCCCCCTTTAAACCAGGACCCTTGAATGTTTTTCTCCCCATCTAGGGCAGAGTACACATATGTACACATGTGTGCATACATTTGCATATATGTGTACACACAGGGCCCAGGAGAGGTTCCCTGTGTCCTGCACTAAACCTAAGCTGTGTGTTCCCTTCCCTTGTCTCTGAAATCAACACACAGCATCTCCTGCAAGCCGCAAGTCAGCAGAACACCTTCCTTTTACAGCCCCTCAGACTCCCATAATGCAACAGTAGGGGCTGAAGACAGGATGATTGAACCACTGAACGGAGGAAGGGGGCTGGGAGGGTAAGGTGGAGGGGGGCGGGGAGCTGGGATGTGGAGACCAGAGGAGCAGTGTCACTCACCGGGGACCCCTTGGAGCCCTTCTGTCCCGGAGGGCCCTGCGGGAAGAGGTAGGGAATGCTGAGGTGCCAACCCCGTCCACACGGTGACCCCTCCATCCCACCAGTACCCCACACTCACCACCACACCTGGGGAACCAGGATGTCCTAATGAGCCAACCGGACCAGGAAGACCCTGGAGAAGGGATACTGGGGTCAGCCTTAATGGGTTCAGCCCTATTACCCAGATATCTTTCTATCCTCTCAAAAGAATGCCTGAAGTCATACACAGACCCCCAACTCTTCTAAAAGGTCCTCTAGTACCCAGACATAGCTTGCCACATGACAGTCCCAGTTAGAGGCTCCCAACCCCCCAAACACAGCCCCCCATTCCATGTCCCCCACCCTTCAAACCACTCCCTTTGAACATTTTGTCTCTGCCCAGGACAGGGCACACACTCACAATGTCTCCCTGAGGGCCTGGAGGGCCCTGCACTCCTGGCAACCCCTGATCGCCTTTCTCACCGGCCTCCCCTGAAGGACCAACAAGGCCTATGAGCCCAATGTGGCCCTGAAAGAGAAAAGTACACCATGAGGACATGTTGGGAAATCTTTTCTCCTGGAGCCTTGGAAGGAATGAGTTGGGGGGCAGTAAATGCCCAGTTCTCCCAGCCCTCTGGCCAGAGCAGGAGGTAAAGGTGAGGGAGATGTGGGGGACAGCAGAGGGAGCCAGGCTTACCTTTTCCCCCTTGAGGCCAGCATCTCCCTTCAGCCCTGGGAGGCCAGGGGGACCCTGGAAAAAGATGAGATTCAGCTTGAGAGTCCTTGAAAACTTGGGAAGGGAAGGTACGCCAGGGAGCCACCTGGTTCTCAAATGCAAGTGATCAGGGCGACAACCACGGGACAGTCAGAAGACGGGAGGGGCGGTGAGAAAAATGGGGGTGGAGGGAGGATGGCTGGGGATGCCAGGGGTCAAGATCAGCAGGAGTGGTCAGTGGAGGGCATCAAGGGGGGTCAGTGGAGGACACCAAGGGGGGG